CCATTGACGCTGATCTATTCAACATTCCGATGAGGAGACCTCGTTGCTCCTTAAGGATGCAAATTTTCCAAGAGGGTTGGTGGGGGTTGACCCCACCTCCAGCTTATTTCAACAAGTCTGACGCACGATGACTTACTGCCGAGTGTTGCAGACTTTCATGCTTTCATCCCCCGGTTCCAGCACTTGAAACACTCGAAACGAACGAACGAGAATTAACAAATGAAACAAACGAACGCGTCGAGTTTTAAATTGCTCGCCCGGGTTGTTTAATGTGCTCCCGCATTGGGGGCAATTCCGACAATGACTGCGAAAATACTGCGCACGCGATTGTTTCCAAATGGGCAAACATCCCTCGGGCTTCAACTATTCAACCCCTAGCGTTTATTATTTAAACAATAACAATAATGAAAATTCTAAAAATACGCAAATGTATTATTCAGTGGAGGTTATTATTTATTTTTTTAAGGGTTAAAGGCATTTTGTCAACTCGCTCCATCCAGCATGCAAATGATTTATGGGGCGGCAAAACGGAGACGCTCCGTTTAGGCATACGTATATATTGGTGATTTATGACATGGAAAAAAAGTATTCTTGGATTTACAACACAGTGACGTTGCTTTTATGAGCGCCATCTTGCATGACTTGACATAAATCGGATTTAATTTGCGTCGTTCTTTTTATGCGTTTATTGTACGCAATCGGCATGATTTACGTTCTTTTCTGCTTGGTTAAAAGAGCGGGGATCAAGTGTGCCAAGTATGCCAAGAGGCTAGTCCACTTCTTGAACTCTAGGAAAAATGGCAAGTTGCCTGGACGTGGTCTATCGCCATCGCCACTTGACCCGCGCATTCATCTCGTATTCTATTCGGATGCGTGCGCTCGAAAAGAAAACAATTTCCAACGCTCAAACCCTTAAAATACTCCTTAAAAGACTTTGGATGGATTGTGGTGTTGACGGTGGTGTGGTATTGATGGTGGTGGGGATGAGTACACTAACCGACAGGTCCCGAATGCGAATGCGACGCTCTCGTTGTGAGAATTTACTTTCGTGGATAGAAATGAGACGAAGGGGGTCTGCCAAGTGAAAGGAGGGGTGCGTGTGTGTGCCGCCTCTGCAGACGACCTTGACCTTCGGGCTCGCGGGCGGTTTTCGCGCGCGCGATGCGCCGCTATGCGGATGCCGGCCCCGGCGTATCGATTGCGCCGTCCCCGGAATCCGCCACCAATGCACCCTCAGCCCAAAAACCCACCCACTCCAGTTTCGATTGTTTCGAAATTTTGAGGATCTCTATTATACTCATGACTAGGCCCCGAAAGTTGTCACCAACTTGTGTTGTATAGTAAACAAAACGAAGACGGCGACATCTACGCCACGTGGATGATGCGCAGTTGTCTCTAAAGTGCTTCTGTGAAGTTTTCACTACCAAACCGTAGATGTCGCTGGTGAAACTGGAGAGATAGTGAGACTGCGACACTAACCGCCCTCAACCGCCCGCCCCGATGACTGGTGGGGAGGGACTGGGCCCACCTGTATCGATTCGCCGCATCGCGATGACGCTGGCGGTGGCGGGCCGTCGCATCCGCAGTCGCGACGAAAGTTCACAGGTCGTGCGCCGAGCGGACGCTCCCATCAGGAGAGCAGGAAGCCGCCACCATCGGGCCTGCTCGACAACCCTACGCGTGCTTGTCACGCGTTATTCATGCTCTCGGCCCCAATTAAACAAAAACAACGGCCGGTCATCGAAAGGAATTAAAAAAATCTGAAATGTCATAATTAACTTTGGATGACAGGGTAAAAAAATGCGTGACGGGTATAACAACCCTTCTGTCACATGCATCAAGCTTTTTAAAACGATCTCGGTGATAAGCGAGTAATCCGATTACGATCTTTTTATGCAATCTATATGGGAATATATTTTTTTCTTCACTTAAAGCGTTAATGTGCTTAATACGTGATTTAACTAAAAATTAAAATTACAAATTAATTGTTCTATATTCCTTGAAAGCACATTTAACATTTTAGGCAGTTTCACATTTAACCTTTAAATTTAACTGACATATAAAAACATAGTAATGTGATTTTAACACATCTCGTTGTTCGAAAGCACCACAAACTTTAAATTGCTTTTAGGGATGAACCATGCAAAATCACTTAATTATTTCTCTGTAACGCGCAGAAGGGTAAAGTGAAAGTCATTTCACACTTTATGCATAATAATATTATCTTTATAGATGAAATAATAATGCTTTAAAGATTAACTACCAAAATATTGGTTTTACGGTTTGATTTAGTCATTTTAGCTGGCAAATTAATTTAGTAATAACATTTATGGAGATTTTGGAATAGTTGGTATAAACAATACTAATAAACAAAACGAATTATTTTTGGAACTTTTGTTTACGCTACTTCTATTGAAATAAAACGAGATATACATAAGACAACTTCGTCTTATAATTACTTAATCTAACACTTTTAGCCAATTTAAAATTTGATAATCTACTTTTTCTACTCCCACCTATAAAGCATCAGTTTTTCCACGGTTTTTAGACACAAAAAGTGGTAATCTATTTACGGACGGTCAAGGCAGTGAGTAAAGAACTTTACTCACGAGTTTTTTTTCACGGGATGGAGCTTGCGCTTGCGTATTTGCTCACGGTGGAGCACAAGACCATACAAAATGCCATGCGCCGCCAGTCAAACAAATCAAAACAGGCGCTGCTTCTGCTGTTTGTGTCGACGCGGCGCGGCATTTATACACTTACATTTCCCAGTATTGTGCAAGCAAATTTCGAAGAATTAAAATACAAAAGTTCAATTCAAAAGCGTGGAAATAGAGTGGAAGTAGAAATAATATAATATTTGATACGTGTCACCTGTTTTATTTAATTGCTTCGCTGTGAAGTCTAACTCCGACAAAAATTCGTTGGATTAGAAGTATTAATTATTCTTCATATTTTTCCTACTAAAAATCTCTCGATAAATGCTATGTGAAATCACACCCAATACATCACTATCAACAGAATTATTCTATTTCAAGACTCATTGATGCAACCTTCTAGGTCCCACACATAACTCACGTTCAAGGCCGTGCTTGGTATGAACCTAAACGAAGAAACAATCAAGGCAAGCACAATGGACGCGTCGCGATTGAATTAGGCGCACTCGAGGGGCGCAATCCTCACGGGGTCTCCTTTTTTCTCTCGTTTTGCTTTCAAGGACTGCGGATAAAGGAGTGCGTACTGTCGACGAGTAGTTGGCGGGCCCGTTTCGCACGTCCGAGCCGTTTGCGACATTATTGGATTATGAGCGTGTCGTGATTTCATGGAGGGCGCAAAAATTACAGACGTGATTGGCAATTTTTACGTGCGTAATCCGATTCGTCGATATTTGGACATCAATGATATATTTTCATTTGATTTGTTTTATTACTATTACATTTTGATTTTAACCTTCAAGAATAATATTAATAACTAGATTTTGCCCGCGACTTTGTCCCGACAGTGTATAATAAAAATTTAATTCGTTTTTATTCTCTTGTTTTAGAAATAGTATGTGTTAATTCAATCAATAAGATTTGCAATTTTATTTTAAAGAAATTAATTATATAAAGAACTAGCTTTATCCCGCGGCTTCGCTCGCGTTGAATCCAAATAAATATTAGAAATCAATCAGTTGCTTCCGTACGCGTCTGTAGTCACAGAAGAAGTAACAATGAAGTAGAATGGCGGGAAGTTTAAAATGGCTGAAAGTATAGTCTATGGAAGTATAGTGTACAGTCTCCATAGTGTAGTCAAATGGATTTGATGTTGACGTATGTCGGTAATACAGTGTGATAATACAGTGTGATGGTACTAATGTACTTAGGTTTGAGCTTCATTGCTGGATTGCTAGATGGCGTTAAAGTAGTCAAATACCCAGATGCAGAGATGCAATTTTTTTGATTTATTTAAAAAATATTTTTTTTATTAAATAAAAAGTAGCCTATTATATAACCTTTCGGGGACCACTAAGAATATGTGTACAAATTTTCATGATGATCTGTTAAGTAGTTTTTGTGTGAAAGCATTATAAACATCAGGACATCCGCATTTATAATATTAGTAGGGATTGCTAATAATGTACTTCAGCGCGTCATCTCGGATTCAACTATTTAACTATAATTATGATTGAATTTCAATGCCAACTTTTATCTTATAGAAAAGGGCTATATTTAGGGTTTTACACTGCAATTATTCAACTTTTTTTCGCCGTAAAAACCATCCTTGGACATTAACGAAGGTTTTTAAAAAGGAATTGGCCATATTGGTCAAGGCGTTGTTGAGTTATGCTCATACCAACAGATTTTGCGATTCATTTTTATATTATAGATATTAATAAATAACAAGTTTTGCCATCTGCTGAAAAATAATAACATGATTTATAACATAAATAGGTACTTTAAGTCAATTGTAATAAATTTTAGTATAGTTATTTTTGACATCTTAATATATATAAATCTCGTGTCACAATGTTTGTCCTCAATGGACTCCTAAACCACATAACCGATTGTAATAAAATTCGCACACCATGTGCAGTTCGATCCAACTTGAGAGATAGGATAGTTTAAATCTCCAATTATAGTCGCAATTTTAATTTATTGCTAATTATTTGTCTGTTATTATTTGTCAGTCACAATTATCTGTTAACTCCAAATGATTTTAACAGGTGTCGATACCTTTCGACTGTTATTATTATTAGTTGACAGATAGAAACTCATTTTGACAATAATTATAAAAGTGAATGAATTTGTAAATTTAGAAATGGAAACTGTGAGTTTTAATAATGGATGTGGCACATATAGCTAAAAAAGTCTTTCAGATATTTCAAAAATATTCGTGAAAGATAAGTCGGGATAACGTTCAACAGGGCCGCTAGTATCTTATAAAAATATTTATAATATGTAAGATGCAAAATAAGAAACGAAAATTGATATCAAGATTGATTTACAGGTATAGGGCATTATTAGTATTTTGCTTGAAATAAAGTGAAGAATTTAATTGGCAAGAAAGTAATCAAAGTAATTAGTTATGCAAACTCAATCTACTCATATCTCAAAATTGACCCATACCCCCTACACTTGAACGCTTAATATACTTCATTATTTCTAAGAATCAGTTCTAAATACATTTCAGAACAATATAGCATTCAAGTATTATTAAATAAAAATTCGCAAAGATAAGATAGTATATACCTATATAAAGAGCAGGCAGAATCTTTTATAGTATGTAAAATATATTGTTTAACAGTTCGAGTATTCTTCAAGTTGATCAAAATGAAAGGTATGTAATAGAATTTTGATAAATAATCTTTCCAAATAAATCATTAAATTTTCTTGCGTAGTTGTTTTTCAAATTGTTGCTGCTGTCCTGCTGGTCCAACTGGTCATAGCTGCAGAAAAGTCAGATGACTCTCAATGCGACACGATATGCCATACTGACAAGCCTGTTGACGACATTCGTTACTTTCCCTATTGTCCCCAATTTTGTCTATGTTCGACACATGACAACGAACTATTAAATTGCCCACCTGGAATGATATTTAATCCAGAGTTGGAAGTTTGCGACTATCCGAAACCTCTTGGTCGCATTGACACTCTTCATTAATGTGGAATATTTACGAGTATACTCATTGTATGCCAGAAATAAATACTTAATACAATATATGGCCTACTTCTTTTTATTCCAATTTGCATATATTTATGTATTTGTGATATTTAAAATAGACACCATTTACTGCTTAAAGTATAAATGTTATACCAAAAATTAAGTTAGGAGCGGGCTGTCGCGTCTATTTGAATTTAAAAAATACAGTTTAGCCGTTTTGCAAAAAAGTTGCAGAAGCATATTCTATGTGCAACAGAGAGAATTGACTGTTTAATATATACATTACTTAGCGAACAGAGTTAATAATTCTCGTTTTTCTTTAATTAACTGATTGTGATAACTTTAGAAATTTCAAACGAGGAATGCAAGCATTTCGTGTAAAATTGTTAAATTAGTACCATTTAAATATGCAATTACATCTGTGACCGAAAACAGATTATTCGTAAAAAGACAGATAAAACTCTAACACACTTAGAAACCCCTTCTTAATTTGAATACCTTATAAATTATGTATGCGCAAATTAAAAATTTGCATTTATTTGCGGCAACGCCCCCTAGCAGAAATCAAAAAAGAATAACTTTGTATATTTTATATGCTGCATTTGAAGGTGACCAATATTTAAGTATAATGAAATTAAATAACGTTTCCTTTAGGTATCTACGCATTGCAAGTATATATTGTAACTAGAAAATATTAGGCGAAGAAAAACTGTAATTTGCAGGACATTTCAAGGACGATTTTGTTGTTAAATATTTATATTAACACTATACAAGTAGGCAACGGCCATACCACGTTGAATATACCGGTTCTCGTCCGATCACCGAAGTCAAGCAACGTCGGGCGCGGGTAGTACTTGGATGGGAGACCGCTTGGGAACTCCGCGTGCAGTTGCCTTTTTATTTATAACAATAATTATTGATATTTTGTAGCATTGGTAACCACAATTCCTTTAGTTATCAATGCATGGCTAGTTTATACTTTAACTGGGATAGAACATGCGAAGTAAAACTGCATTTTGCTAAACATTTTAAGGACGAATTTGTTATTAAATATCCATATTAATACTATACAATTGGGCAACGGCCACACCACCTTGAATAGCGAAATAGCGGGCAAAACCTAGTAAATTAGAATTAAATATATTTAATTTATTTGAAATCTGTAATAAAGCTAAACTTTAGTACGTCGCCCTCATATAAATCTCACATAAATCATTCTGTTCAACAATTCAGGAAAAATTTATAAGTATGAATCGAACAAAACTCTGACCAACCCTTTTTGTCTTATTAGTGTAGTGTACCCAATTATTAATGAAAGCGGTTTCAGTAGCCAAACAGGTGTCAATGATACAACATGTTGATTTTTTTTTGGTTTTGAATCGCCCTTTTCTCGTGAAAATAGACATATTCCTACAAGAATTACAATTCACCAAATACAAGGAAGTATAGTTTTACTCGCTACAAGTAGGTTTTGGATTAAACAAACGATTTTATGGCAATCCTTTAATATTAATATAAAGGGATATGTGCAAGATATAATTAAATCTGAATCAGTTATACTTAATGACGAGATTTAATACGGCAACAGTAATAAAATTAAATATATTACATAATACACAATATACATCAAGTTACGACCATTTAAATAACAAAATAACTTTCACTGCATACATACTCGTATACCTACCCTATATATGTTAATCAGTCTCACCATAATTACAATTCAAATGTAATCGTGCATTTTTGGAGACATAGCCTTCAATACACGATTGAGCTACAAATGTAAATAATTGTTGAGTGTGTGGATAATTGCGCAAATATTAAAAATTGAACCTAGTTCCCGGCGCCTCCACCAAAACTACTATTCAGATTAATGATGCTCGTCGATAAACACCCCGTATGCGAAATGTCTGTCGGCGGTTCCTCGCTGTCCGCTTGCGCGCGGCCCCCGCAGCCTTGGGCGGGCACCCGCCGCCGCCGTTCGCAGTCGACGGCGGCGCTCGCGCGAGTTGAACGTTCGCGGTCTCTCGACGTTCGCAATCCGTAACCGTAACCTGTGGCGCGTCCACAACGACCACAACAAGTGCGAAACACATTCACACATAATCACACTCAATCTCATTCATCCCATCTCCACCATCTCAAATAATCTAATCACTTAAACTCGAAGAAGATATTCGAGTCGTAACAAGTTCGAAAACATCATTTTTGTGTACTGCAATACACTGTATATTAATGTAATTGTCGCGTTTACTGTAGAAGAAAGTTTCACCTCCGTTACTCTTATGGGTTTCGTGTGATGCGTGTTTAAAGTTGTTGTGTTTTGTGTGTGACGCAAGCTGCGCTTCAATGGCGCATAAGTCAGTACGCATGCGTGGTAGTACATTCAACCAACGTGTTGATACTAATGATACAGTCAACATAACCTGCTCTTAATTGTCGTAAAACGTTTTGTTGTCATTTAATTAGTTTATTTACAATTAAAATTTTATATTCTGGGCATGAAATTAGTGCAATTGTCGAAGCAAAACGTTTTTCATTCAGCAGCTTGATTAATTTATCGACGTCTAATACCACGCTCAACTTTGACATTCGCCCCATCCCCTTGTGGTGCATCAACGTCGCCGGGTTCGGTTGTAATGCCTGAATGTTTAAGACGCGCGCGCGGATTGCGGACGGCTGGAATTGAATTTTCCGACGTTTTCGTCGTGCCGCGAAATAACAGAAATAACTGAAACGCGTTGCTCATGTTCTTTCTTGCTTTTTTTACATCCCACGAGAGCTTGCCGTAAAAGCATAAAAAATACTTCGGGCATAAAGTGTATTTATGTTCGTCGGGTGGCGGACGTGGTTTGCAGTATTCCGAGATAAGAGATGAAAATATTACAAACGAAAATACGATGGGCGGTAGGCTTGCGGGAATTCGCGTTTGTATTTTTACAAAAATGTAATTTCAGGATTATTCCGGATTACTTTATGCCGTGAATTTCATGCTGTAAAAAGAAACAAGTTTATTTTATAAACAAATTTAAATATCTCACCAAGAACACCTCCTGCAGAGGTGGAACATGGAAAAAATGTTTTGAAAAACAATTTTATCGGCTTACATGCTGTGTGTTTTCAACAAAATTGAGTAAGTAATTGGGCAATGACAAATTGAAAACAATTATAAGCAAATTTGATTGCTTTCAGAAATAATGGCATCACATAGCTTATTCCTAAATTGAGGTTATGAAAATCAATAGTTCATAAACCACATGAAACTACTAAACCGAATGTAATTACAGTGTTCAATTACATGTATTAAATTAAACTTTGGTATTTTAGTACCTATAAAGCATTTTTAAATATTAATAATAATTAATTATCGCAAATAATATATCGTTCATTTGAAAAATATAGTATTACTGTATCTGAGTAAAAGTTAATTAAAAATGCTTTTAATAATTGTTCAGGTGCGTCAGGTTACAAGTGTTTAAAGTGCAACAAACAAAGTGTGACGCAAACCGCGGCATTTACATTTTTACAGCGCAATAACTCCGAACGCACCTGGATGAAAGCACTAAAACCACAAAAATAGTTTCATTCGACCGATATATGGCGTAACGCTATAAATACAATGTATTGCAGTTTACCATTATTCAAAACGTAGATCTCGTAAAATAACTTGCGTCTGCAAAGCAACACCTTTTTTCGAATCCACTGACGAGCAGAGTTTGCAGGGAAAATCGTTTTCCCAAAGCGTGTTTGCCGTTTCAGCACGTGAATTCCCATTGGAATTGAATTCCGTCGTAAAGCGAACGACATTACGACTACGACTCGAATATCCTTTTCGAATAACCAAAGTCTATTACTTTCTATGATCTTGCAATCTCTGTAGACGCAGAAAACAGCATACTAAACAAATTCAAACAAACGAACCGAGAGGGAGAAAGAAAAGCGACGTGCGTTTAAAAAGATGCACATCGGAGTCGGTGGGCAAGTCTATCGCGAGAACGCAAATTTGGACGAGTTCATTCAGGCGCAGAATATGGTAAGTCACTAAGCAAACAAACAAACAAACCAACCGATGAACAGTAAGTTTATGTGTTAGACAACAAACAACAAAATGGCAGCGTGTTTAGTCGTACACTTGCACGCTGATAACCTCAAAGATATTGCGATGACATTCGCGCAGTGAATCTCCAGTTTTCTCCAACATCTTGTTGAAAATGTCGCCGGGTGAGATCCACATTTTACGCAATTGTCTTACCGAATATAGTGCCTTAAATAAATAATAGAAAAAGTTATAGGTTAGAATGAATAAATTTAGACATTCTTACCCGATCAAATCCGAACGATTGTGATTGATAGTCGCGCACTCTAGAGACTAGCCGATGAAACCCATACACAAAGTCTTCGTGACTCCTAACCAAAGTTTCCAAATCCGTGGCGGCGTCAAATTCTCGGTCGAAACGCCTGCGGCATACTCGATACACATACCCAAGAATGTAGTGCTGCAGCGCGGCGAAGACATTAATAAACCCGAAACGCATCACTTCCAACCGCTGCAGTAACTCCCGAACATACCTTGGGGCTTTCTGCCTTCTTCGTTGTTCGCTACGTGAATACCTTAGATGGTTGAGTGTATGCAGCGCCCACTTGATCTTCAGCACGAAATAGAACATTTCGCGATACATTTTCGCACAACGTTCCGTGACTATGATATCAATCGGCCACTCGACTGAATATTGCACGTCGATGAGTGTACACGTGCGCAATGGGTCTTCCAACATGGAAGCCCAACCGGGTTTAACACCTACCCGAACTCGTTCATGCAACCGCGGGTGCGCATCAGCAAGAACATCCTGAAGATCATAGGTGAGCCAAATGTCATTACCCCAGGTAGCGTTTGATTCGATTTTAGCGAAAACAGCGCGATAAAATGGGTAGATGGTATCATCAGCGAAAAGGAAGACCTTGGCCATGATAGCAAGGTGTTCAGCTAGGTGATAATCACGTAGAAATAGATCTTTAAGGACTTGGCCACAATTGCGATATTTACGTCGGATTATGTCACCAAGAATATCCGCTATAAATATTTGCACACCTGGAAGCGAGTGTTTACCCATTTCCTGCAACTGCGCATACGTCGACTTAATCTTAACCTTATTATTTGAAAGGGCTGTTTCATCAGGATAGAACACATCGTGAAATGCCGCCATTAGCAACCCATCTGAAGTATCTGTACAGTTCTCCAATAAATCAAATTCGGTCGAGTATTTTTCTTCAATATGCATCGCGCCATCCGCCATTTTGTTTTCGTCCAGATCTATTCCTTCGTCTATACCGGACACTTCTTCTGCAATCTCTTCTGGGTTACAAATACCGCTATAATTTCGAATGATATCAAAGATTTCACTGCGCCATTCATTGTAAATGCTGAAATTGGTCGCGTGTAGTAAATGCAGTTTTCCCAACAGACTAAACAGTCGCAATTGCCGTCCGATTTGTAGCACTTCGCTTTTGATAACTGATATTAATGGATCATCAACTAGTTTAGAGTGATGGTGGTTCGACTGGCGGAGTATATATTTGGCGCGGTCAAATGCTGCTTTTTTGCTAATTACTGACAAATCGTGATATTCGCGATCATCGTCTATGTCATCGTCATCCACCATGGTGTGGGGCGCGAGCGGAAACTCCCGACGTGAATCAACTAACTTATCAGTTCTAAACCACTCTTCTATGATTCGCACATACTTATACGCTGACTCTAGGTACAGCGAAAGAATAATATCCATTTGCCACTTCTCACAAGTCAAGTTCAAGTGGCTGTAAAGTGTGGTTAGTAAATTCATGCAGCAAGTGTGCCGCGGTTCGATAGAATAGTTTAAAATGGCGGCGCTGTGCACACGATGCAAATATTTAACCTCTTTCATAATGTCTTTCAAATCATTACCAAAACTTATTAATGTTAATATGGTTTCTTAAGACAGAAAAAATAAATTAATAATGGCGAATTTTTTGTTGCAGGTATGTTACCTTGTTTGATCATTTCCGCTTCAATCTCGGCGAGGCGTCGAATTGCCGGTCGGACGATGGCCATTGCCGCTTCCGCATAGCCCCGATAAGTGTGCGGTGCTTGCTCGTCGTTCAACACTCGACGGTGGAAAGTTCGCAACTCGTGAAGCATTAAGATGTCCGGCAGGAAAGCCGACACAAGGTTTTTGAACACAAACTAAAGAGAACATTAGTTGCAGTAGTCGGTATATTAGGTTATGTTTAAACTTACTGGTCTCACACTTGATATTGACACGTCTTCATTGACAATCAAATTGTTTCCACTCCAGGAGAAAACAACAGAGTTATGAGGTGATATTAATTGCCAACAGACTTCACGAAGCACTTTGTATTCGCTCAAAATTTTGGTCCGACGCCCGCCGAGTAGGCCATAACTTACTTGTGATAAATAACGCTCCCTAAATCACATGAATATTATGAAATATTTACCGCTTTGAATCTGTCTCTCACCATCTTATAGCAATATCTGATTCTGATTCGCGCACCTCCGGTAGATCTCGTATGACATTTGACGCGTACCATTTATGTTGAATGTTTTCCTTTAAAATTCTTTGACAACTCTCAAATGTCTCTAAATTAGATTTTTTGGGATTTTCTGCTGAGATTTTAGTTAATTTATGGTCGTCAGTCAATGTCCGTGAAAGGGAGGTTTCTGTCATAACTTCGTTTGATTTATCAGAGAGTTCATCATCACTCAGTTCATCCTAAAATACAAATGAAATATTTTTAGGTTACATTAATTTGAAATTTGCATACTTACTGAATCATCAAAATTAGGTGACCATGTATCAATACCCTCCATGAGATATGACCCCCAATCAATATCCTCTTCTTTTGTTTCCTCATGTAAAACAAAACCTTCTGGAAGGGAAGCTAGATAGGTTGTTGGACTTTTAGACATTGCAAATAGCAATTGCATCACAGCCATTCTAAAATTTCTGATTAAAACTAATAGATTCAGTGGCAATCATAACTTACCTGCTTTTTGTGTCATCTTCACCTGCACTTGCACTCATGTACTTCTCATAGAGAGTATTAAGACTATGTGATTCTTTTAAATAACCATGGAAAACCAGCTTCTCTGCAAGTCCATCAACTTTGCTATCAATCTCATGTTTTGTAGTGCAGAATGCTGAATCAGTTCTGCGCAGGGATTTCCAGAAATAATCGTGCACGTATTTGAATATTTCGGTGTTTTCCTACACAAAAACGAATTAGAGTGGAATAACATTCATAAAAACTTTAAAAAAACTTACATTAAAATTGGTTAGCTTCACAATTAAGGCTTTGATGTTTGGCTCGATGGTCGGGTCGTATTTGTAGGCCATTGTATTTACAATTCTCTTCTTCTTATAATTGTTATAATTAGTTGTTTAGGTTTTGATGAGTTTGATTCAAATTTGGGTTTTGTTGTGATGCGTGACGGTTGACGGTGCAGCTGTTTGTGAGCGACTGCTGGAAGTTACAGGTTAGGTTTGTGACCCAGATAAATAAATCAATACAGATATGAGTTGAGCTTATACTTCACAGTAGGCAGCACTGAACTTAATTTATATTTGTCCTTTTATGTTTTATTTTATTTATTGTTAATTAATAGAATATTGTATTCTTAATTTACTACTGTTTCCTGTTTAATTAATTGAATACTTATCTGACTTGTAACTTAGTCTGAGTTTAAAGGTTGACTATTACTTTGTACATTGTCACAGAGGTGGCGCTGCGCTGTTTAAAAGTCCTGCAAGTAAACAAACCGCATGCCGTGTGCGTATTGTTTCGACGGCGGTTTGTTTACGCCACACGGCGGCGGCGACCGGCCGTCGATGTTGATATAATCGTCGGAATTGCTTGTGTTCGTTGCAGTTGAGCATGCAGAAGCGCGACGTGGTGCTGACGGCGGTGTTCTCATCGCTCGCGGCGCTTATACTGATCACGGGCGTCGGCGCCGCCTGCTACTTCTTCCACAAGCGTCGCAGGAAGCGCGACGACGACGACGAAGAGGACGGCTGTGAGGGCGGCAGTGGTGGAGGCGGCGCCGGTATGAATCGGGCCGAGCCCTCCGACAAGAAGTCGCGCCTCAACGGCTTCCTCAGCCTCAAGACGCCGCTCATCTCGACGAAGACTCTTGGGTGAGTTGCTGTTTTTCAGCCGCCCCACTTTTCTTGTCCTTTATCTTATCATATTCTGCACTAAACCCCCGACCATTCCCAATAAAGTTGTTGAGATGGTGATCGAGGTTGTGCACAGTCTACTCGAGCGGCGGTCGGTTGATTAGACGGCGGCGGCAAAGTGCCGCGCGCCTGCTGCGCGTCTCTCGCGTGATGGAGGCGTGCGGGAGGCGGTGCTCCCGGACGCCCGATCAATACGGGACCGCTCGCGGATAATGAAGAAGCGAAACAAAAACGCGAATTGTAAAATTCGCAAAAAAACAAAATAAACAAAATACAACGGAAATCATTCGAAACAAAAGAAACTATGACGCCAAATAGCCGCCATTATGCATTCCTGTTTAATTTTTGATAAACTTAACAGTTATCATACATCTATCAAAATAATAACAATCGCAATGAAATAAAAGATTTTAACAGAAATTATTTTTTGTTGTTGTTTTTTTTTATTAAAAAAATAGAGAGCAACACCGGAAGTCAGCCATGATTAATTCAAGTTTTCCCCAAATAGACACTACAATAAATATTCATGATAATCGACACTTTGTTCTTAATTGAAACAAAATGATATTATGAGCAGAACAACATCGGAAAACAGAATAAAATCAAATTACTACATCAAAGAAGCGCAAACATAACCTTAATTATTACATCCGCCCATCAGCTTTCATCATGTTCATCATATCTCATGCGGACAAGCACGTGGCGCGTCGATCGCGTTGTGTCTTCGTTTGAACTTTATTTTAAGCTGGCGTCTCGCATCAGTTCTATTCCGATGGAGCAAATAAAAACTCGCAAGTTCGGAAACTTTGCTAACCATGAGCTTTTATTGCTAATTAATAGCATTAATAGCCAATTCGAAGTTGGCGCAACTCTCGACAACTCTGGGAAAAGTTAAAATCTAATCAGGCTCGCCGAAGGAAACGCAAACGGCAGCCATCATTATTATTTTTTTGGTTTTACATTTTGAGGTTAGAGCTAATCTTCATTAATATACTGAGTGTTTTAAATTAATATTTAGAAAAACTGGTTAATTTAATTTGAACACAAGGAATATTGAATTGTTCGTTGTTAAAGGATAAAAATCTTTAGTAATAAAAAGGCGGCATAGGCCGGGGGCGGCGGGACATCCATTGCTCTCGCATTTTACAACCTCACGCGCTCGTTTTCGATTTTATTTCCTGCTCACCATGCTTTATGTTCTGCTTGCGGGTGCACTTTGCTCTTGTGAACTAACATGGCTAACTTATATACAGTATGTTCCGCAATTATAATATTAAACAAAAAACGTTATTATTTTGATTTATATAAATAATTGCTTTTTGCGTTATTGTAAATTTGTTCACGAACACACTGTATAATTCTAAGACAAGGTCGTAAACACGACAACATTATAAGCGCGAGTCGCTTTTGCGCGTGAGGCAAAAGCTCGCGTAATAAAATTATGTCGACGCGCGCGACGACCACCCCCGTGGGCGCTCTCCAACGCAGGCTCAAATGAATTGTAACAGATTGTCACTCCAGACTGCGTCGTGCAGCTTTCTAGGAAATTAATGCTCGGAGAACAACAAAGCTCTTTTGTGCCGTTTTAGTTTTACTTTTTATGGAATGTTTTAATTTCATCTAATAGTTTAATTACCTACTTATTATAATTAAACATTTTAAGCATATTTTTATTTTTATATAGTAGATATATTTTATTTAAATATTTGATCAAATTGTATATTGACTGCTTAATATCAATTGTATAGGTTATGTTTTTCTTGTTATTTTGAAATCGTTATTTTTATATTTTATTTTATTTAAAAAAATCAAAAATGTAGTAAAAAAGTTTGTGTCCCCTTCACTCCCACACTATATTGTGTGTATTCTTTATAAATAAATAATTTTATATGTTGCTAATGGTGTATTTTACTGGTTTTTAAATCACGTGAATTTTACAGTTTTCTGCTGACTATTTTAAAACTTATTGTAAATATTCAGCTGAATTGCAAGTCAAATATAACACATTTCAGCAAAGCAATTAAATCCATTTTAGACTGTTTCCATTTTGCAAATATCAGTTATCGGTAATTATTATTTAGTACCCTGGTTTAATATTTCTATGCCGTTTGTTAGTTTACATAATTTCTCCTTTTGTATAGAATGCACGCTCATAGTACACAAATATGTGCATTTGACAATTGCGCGGATGATCGAATACGTTCTGTTTCTGAGCGTTCGGCAAATCGCTACCAATTGCACGGAAAATTCGTACGTAATGGTGGCGGCTGTGGAGGCAGCGGCGGCAAACACAAAAGACGGTTCGTGCGTGCACATTACGGCCCTCGGGCGTCATCAGTAGCCTCTATCGGCATTGGTCGTCAATTGCACGCTTTCAATTGCAAACGAATGCGAAATAAACAAAGAGCGCAATAAATAAAAATAAATAAAAGTGCGGTATTCGATTACCATTCCTGCGGTCTACAGAGCCCGCCAACCTCGGGCCGACCGCAAAGCGCAATTTTCTACAAATAATCAAGCAAATGGAATTTTTCCACATCCGGTTCGCGGATAGTTTTACATCCGTTTTTCAATTTTTATGCGCAACAAATGTGCTGGAAAAAAATCCATTTAAAACATACAAAACATGTATCGAGTGAGCATGTATCCTGCAGCGCCATCTGGTTTTTAATAGCCATCTGTATTGTTATGAAAACTACGTTGTTAAGTTTTTGATTTTGAAGAATGTGTACATTTGTGGCAGCCATATTGTTTGCATTAATATGCCCGAACAAAACTTCCGGCTGCCGTCACGACTTGGCAATTATTCGTGTCCGCGTCGAGTTTATAACTCGCTATTACGGTGGTTTTGATACTGCGCGCGGCCAGGCGTTGCGGTTTCGTGGTCATTACTCACCGGCTAGTTGATAATACAGTTTATAATCTCACCACACATATACTCAGATATGCAGTTTAGTGATTAAGTACATTACTATCAGAAATTGTGTTATTACGACGGAAATCATGGATTATGTTGTGACAATGACAATTGTAGCAAGATTTACCCTGCGATTTCATAAACGAAAAAATATTGTTTTCGGAATTTCAATAAGTTAAGACGCACAATTAATTTCTGAAAGTACAGTTTGTATGAAGAAATAAAATTAGGTTTTCTACTATTTTCCTTGAATTTTTGATTTTGATTTTTGATTATGAACTTTCCTTGCACTTCTACAAATATGTCAAAACCCCAGTTGGTCTGTCGAGTTTTAGTCAAATAGCAATTAATTTAAATGTATCTTGACAGATAAAAACACAAATAATGAAATTTGACGCTGCATGAATAACAACAGTATTGTCATTCTTCATTTCGTATTTTGCTTTTGCCATTTCGCATTCTGAAATGGATCTAATGGAATAGTGAGCGCACTGGGCGCACCGCAAACAAAACGAAATTACATCCGTTCGCACACAAAGTTGCCTACGTTGAGTTTTTCGCGCGTGTTGCGCGCGGCTATTCATTTTCGCCGTTGCCACGTCTACTACACACCGCAGCACGCTGCACTTCATCACAACCTCGGGCTATTCATACACCCATTTCTCCGGATAACCGAAAAAAAAGTATTGTTGTAGATTTTGCTTTGTGCAGTGTTCTAGCCTTTTAATTGCATCAAGCTAAACTTTAAAAATTCCCAACATCGCAAACTTTTAATTGGGTATCACACAATTAATCAACAGTATTACAAACAGTGAAGGATATACACGTTTCAATTAGTCGTAATAGCATACGATTAATCACGCAAATGTATTAATTACGCATTTACGGACGCACTATTGTGAGTGCTGTCGAATATTACACTCGAAATATATTTGCACATTTTGCGCACTTACATCAACCCAATTATGCGTTCGGTGAATGATTAAACGAGTTGTTCGTCAAGCTCATTAGCGAGTAATTAGCGATGCGAGCACATTGCGCCACTTTCACACAGACACATACACAGTAAGCAAAAACAAGGACGAAATATAGCCGTTACTTCAACGGCGGGAAACTTGGAGAAGTACAAATAGAAATACAAAACACAAACAGAGACATAACCGGGCCAGCTGTAAGTCATAAGTCGTTAAACGAAAGTTGAAAGCCGTAAATCAGAATTCCAGCAAGCCATAAAGTTTAAAATGTGTCACGTCACCAAGAGGTTAATATATTCCTACAAAAATCTTAAAATCGTTTAATTAGTGAATTTTACACTATTTTTCCAATTGTTAAATTTAATAAATGATTTAATCCAATATTTATGTTTGAAAATTGTAAAAACTTGTTAAAAATTATTCAACCATGTTTTTTTTTTACTTTTTACGAATTTCCCTTTTATGTGAGGGTTCTTTAGCTTTCTATTTACGTCGAACTGTTTGCATTTCTTTACATTTTATCCACGCTTATAAACGAGCAAGCCTAGAAATAAACCGTGGCGTAAAGGATGCGTCCGCATTGCGCGAGACGATAACAATGCGCGTCCCGGCAAAGACCCGCGACTGTCGCAGGTCCTTAAAGGACGAGCGACGAGCATCAAGCCTACGAACGCGCACAAAGCACCGCAGACTGAAACGAACTGGGACGACGCGCTTCACAAAAAATACTTGAAAAAATAAACTTCATTCAGGTCTTCAGTGCTGGTATATTTACATACGTGAGCTTTTTTCAGAAATAGAACATCCAAGTTTATAAATAGGCTTGAATATATTTTTAAAATTAACGTATATAAGGTAAGATTTTGTCATTATAAATATCAATGTCGAAGTGAATTGATGCTTCTTTGTTTCACTAAAACTTGGAAGTGATTGGACCAATTTGGTTAATTATGGTATTGAAATATTTGATGAAGTTTAAGGAAAATTCAGAGGGTGAGGAAATATCAAGAAATTGTAAGAGAAACAACTATTTTAATATTTTATCTCAACTTTTCATACTTGTGAAACGGGGTGTG